CCCCACCCCCCAAAAAGCACAGGATAAAAAATAACGGTACTAGATGGGTAGCTGGATTCATCATGAAGATAGCAGCTCCCGCAGCCCATGTCAGTTGTGCTTGTTGAAATTCATGCAATTCTGCTTCGACTACCTGGTGATCGGAATCCATGCGTTCCTATTATGCTTTTAAGAATGATAGACCATGAAGAGCGAAGGCGAAGAGGTTGATGAACTCTGTGCAGAGCTCGAACTAACTTTTACCGTCAGGTCAGCATCGACGAATGTGATAAGCGATTTCAGTGAACAACTACTCGACTTGGCTTGGCTCCGCTAGATTCCAGCTGGTGTGCGAATCGCGAAAACTGCTGTAGGTAGTGGGAAACGTTATCCCGGATGCTGGGAACGTGGGTTTGGAGGGAGGGAGTTATAGCTGAGGAGGAGAGAGAGTGTGGTGCTGATTTTGGCTACAAGAGCTCAGGGCACGGGAGGGGCTGGGATAGATGACTACGAAAATTTAGTTCAGACGCGCAGTATGCATTCGTTTGTGGGTTTAGCGGCCGGGTGAGGTGGATTTGGGCGGTGGTGGGTGGGAAGAAGGGGAATTGTAGCGATCTTTTCGGCCGCGGAGACTTGAAGTGAAAGGCTGGGATATAACTGGAAAATGTAGTTGTAGAGGGCGGAGGAGGGCTGAAGAGGACCAAGTGTTGCTTTGGGGGCAGGAATTGGAGAGAAGGGGAACGGGGATACTAGCCAAGAACTTGGCAACAAGAACTGAAAACAATATCAATAACTGGCCGGCGCATCGACTGCCGGTGCGAAGACACGTTTTTTGCTCAATTCCCCGCATGTTTTTGTTGCTAACGACACTGTTTTTCCGATAGATGCTTCTAGCTAAAAGAATTGAAATGGGCCAACATGAATGACGAAAATCATTAAGGTAACTCCCAATCCATGCTCAAAAAATCCACACTCCGAGCGCTTTGATTACGTTTTGCGCTCGCATGTTAAAGGGACGTAAGTGTTATTTTCACTTACGACTGCCCAAGCACAGTCCTAGCCCACACTCAGAAAATTTTTATCGCTCCTG